GGGAATGAGCACTCACACAGGTAGGTGGAGGTGAAGGGAATGAGCACTCACACAGGTAGGTGGAGGTGAAGGGAATGAGCACTCACACAGGTAGGTGGAGGTGAAGGGAATGAGCACTCACACAGGTAGGTGGAGGTGAAGGGAATGAGCACTCACACAGGTAGGTGGAGGTGAAGGGAATGAGCACTCACACAGGTAGGTGGAGGTGAAGGGAATGAGCACTTTTACAGCCTTCTTGGCGAGGTGGGGGAACTCGGTCTCCACAGACAGCCAAAAGTGTGCAAGTGACGTTTTCTGCCAGACGCTGTCTCCTCTCTCACTTTATTTTTTTGTCACGCTGCGCCCCCCATGAAGCTCTCTGGCGCCCCCCCAGGGGAAGCGCGCATCACACTTTGAAAACCGCTGATCTAGATGATAAGGAAAGGAGCTTGAATGCTTCCTTTGTTATCTCCTTCAGCATAGGATACACAAACCGTCCTTTACGAACAGGATAGATGAGGCTGTCCCATCCTTCGCTTGATAGAAACTCACATTTTGGCGTTCATGAAAACAACTGCTTATCACGACCATCAAACACAGGTTTTGTAAATCATCATAACTTACTAAGCTCTGAATGAAACACTATTTTCTGTTGTGAAATGATCAAAACAAAGTCAACATTTGAAGATGTTTCCTGAGTTTCTTGAGTTTCTTGAGCTTATGTGTGCTTAAACCCTGAGAGATGGTTACCTCCTGGTTGGGGGAGTTGTCGGTCTTCAGCTCCTTGTGGTTGGAGAACTGGATGTAGACTGGGTGGTGCCTGATGATGGGCACCAGTGTGGAGTAATATCCCACCATGTTCTGAGCCGCTTCCTCCGAGTTCATCTCTAAGAAGGCCTGAAGAGGGAGGGCAGGAGAGGTGAGTATGGTAACGGAAGTGTAAAATAATAATACTGCTTTACTGCGGACCCTGCTGAGCTTAGGGACTAGGGATGCATATCGTTGGCTTTTTTACGATACCTACACGACTGAACGATACCGATACTCGACCGATACATATCGTGATACTTTCATGTTGCATAAGGGAAAAATTGAAGCGCTTTATGATATAGTTAACATGTCAAATTAATATTACAATTAATTGTGGGACTTCGACCTTTTAGTACTGAACAAACAATGAAAAACACATTTGACAACACAGGCTTGAAGACTGTACATTCCTGTACTCTGATTTTATGTGACAGTAGCAAATGTTTTCATAGGTTGGATGTGTTGCCGCCTTTCCCAGAAATAAACGTATTGCAGTGGTTACAGACCCCACCATTCAGACTGGAAGTCACATCTACACTTTAGATTTTCGTGCCGAAATCGAGCTAATGAAAAAACGAAAGCTAAACGAAAGGCTCAGACGTTCGGGAGGAAGGTGAAGGGCGTTGCTTGGCAATCAAGCCAATCACCGAAGCCGTTGCAAGACGTGCAATCTGATTGGCTGGCGGTTTGGGCGTGAGTTTAAGGATATTACGCCTCACTTTATATAGGTAAAAAAAAAAATGGAAAAAAATGGAAAATATTGAAAGTATCGAAAACTGGATCTGATTTCTGTACGGGATACCGTAGCCGCCAGTAACCGGTATTTTGTTAATACAGGGAACCGGTATGCACCCCTAGTCCTGTTACAACGTAATAATGACACAGTAGTAGTAAAGACAAATGGAAATGTATAGGCTTTTACATTAGGCACACCTAATAGCTCATATGCTACTAGATCAATATTATAAAAAGGTCCTCCTAAACTATGTATATTATACAAAATAGGAAAGCTGAACTAAAATGTGCTTACCTCAATGTCGTCCTGTCCTCTGACTGTCAGGTAATCTTGGGGTTAAAAGTAAACAATCTGTTACTCTACTGAATACGTAAACATGGTAGTATCAGATCATCACATTGAATGAGGTCATGATAATCAACTTGTGGAAATTAGATTGTAACAAGGTCTCTTACCAGGAATGACAAAGGTAGGAGTCGTGGTAGGAAACATGAAGGGGTGACTCTTCAGAGTGAGAAAAAAACTTCCAGGTTCTTCTTGCGGTTTGTTTCCTGTATGGGGTTAGAGTTGTGTCAATAATGTGTGTGTAAATTCTAAATGTAAAACACCTTCCACAAATGCATTCAAAAGATTTGCAAACTCACTCAATTACTATAATAGACAGCGGTACGTTGTGTGCATTCTTTATCATCATCATGTCATAGTGATACAGTTAGTTTGTGTACAGCCTATATTGAATATATAACTCTTCATAATTTATTGTGTCATTACACTAATGTAGATGTTTACTGATAATATTGTTGAAGGTTTTGTTGTCCTTTTTATACTGTTGGCTAGTTTAATATACACCAATGCATTATATTGTTTCAAGGCATGATATAAGTTTCTCAGAGATTGTGACTGCGTATTTGTATAAGATGGTACGAGCAAAACAAATTAGGAATGAACTAAAGGTGATACATAAATGAAGTGGAGTAAAAAGTAAGAATAATCCATAAAATGTGTACTCTGTGTTCATTTCGACATCCATCCGGCAATAAGTGTAGGGTTAGGTGCCGGAAAAGAGCAATACAGGGACAATACCATTCAAAAATTATTTACATCTACCCACAAATTATAATACACAAATCTAACCCCATATTCCTGGCACTTTGTCCTCAGAACGTCTTTTGTTTATTAGTCTTTGTTGTACAGCGAAAATGAAAAAAATAAAGAAGTCTCTACATGTATTTTATATTTTCGCCAAAACTCCCTCTGGAGGTAGCACAGGGATTTTAGCCTTTGCAGACCATTTACATGCAATAAAAACCAATATAACAAACTACAGGAAAGGGAAAACCCCTAAAAAAGCAGGCCCTTTGAGACTTACCACTTTGTGGAAGCATTTTTGGGAAAAACTTTTTTAGTCTGTGGATTTCGTGGCAGGGGTTTCCGTTCTGACTGTACCAAGCTCCGAGTCGATCAACATCAGCTTGGAGATCGAATTCTATAAATACCTGGAACACACACACACACCTACAGGTAAGACAAAAAGAACGTCCTTTTTCAAAAGCCACATCCTTGCATGTGTTGGTTCATACCTTTTCGAGCAGAGGGAGGAAGTTCCTGACAGAATGAATACCAACTTCTTTCAAAGTTTCTCTCAACTTCTGGGAATCTGTCCGTGAAATGTTTTTGATGAGGACTATTTTCTCTCCATCACGAACCACGCTCTGCATCAAGAACAGGAAGTGAACAAGCAAACCGCAAAGTTAACAAGGAAAGAGCCAATGTCTTAATATGAGCTTTTAATATATCTGAATGCAGGTATATATAACTCTACTGAACATTTTTTAGGGTATTAAAAAATGGAATTTAGGATTACTTTTACCTACTTGATCATAAAGTTTATGAATGAGCACAAGTTAGGAGTGTGTGTGTGTGTGTGTTTTACTTACGTCACCAATCAGCTTCATCAGCCAGTTATAAAACCCAAGCTATAACAGAGACATTAGAGTAGACAGTGTTAAGATAGCTGCAGATAATTAGGTAAAACAATATTTTCTGTCTTTCTTTGAACGGACGACTACTGGGAGACTGTCTCAATGCTTACCGGTCTCATTAGAAATGGGGGCTCTATGGCGTTGCAAGCAAGGTCACAACCATGTAACTTTAACTCTTTCTTTTGACAGGCTTCCACTAGCTTCGGCACAAGCTTACATGATGGCGCACAGATGAATGCCTGAGAAAAAAAACAGAGGAATACAACTGCTTGTGGCTTTACTGCTAGCATTTCAAGTCTTTCAATATGCATAAAAACAGTCTGGAACAGGTAATGGTGCATATAAGATCTTGGTAATGGTGCATATCAGATCTTGGTAATGGTGTATATCAGATCTTGGTAATGGTGTATATCAGATCTTGGTAATGGTGTATATCAGATCTTGGTAATGGTGCATATAAGATCTTGGTAATGGTGTATATAAGATCTTGGTAATGGTGTATATAAGATCTTGGTAACAGTGTATATAAGATATTGGTAACAGTGTATATAAGATATTGGTAACAGTGTATATAAGATATTAGTAATAGTGTATATAAGATCTTGGAAAAATAAAAACCCAATAAAATTCGGCAGAAACACGAGATTAATAAACCAAACCGACAGATTTATAACCGTGTACCTACCAAACGCGACTGAGGAAAGGCATAGATTAATCTTTCAGAGCAGCCAACTGTATATGGAATAAGTTGCTGGACGATGTCGTTCAAAGTGTAGCTGCACTCGCGATAATCCGGCAGGTTGGAAATGAGCATGTGCGGGACATTCCTTTTAAGAAACTGGAAAAAAGAGGGAAAGATGGTCATAATTACAGGTTGCTTGTTTAATGAAGATGTTTTGAGTTCAGAGTAAACTGTATGGTGTTGGAGCAGTATGGTACAAAAGACTGAAGACTACTTAATTGATTAATATCTTTAGAAAAAGACCACATTTGTAAATCTAGCAAGACTTATTACAATAGATTTGAGGAAACCCACCAGTGCCTTGAACAAGAGTTCCGGCAACAGCGTCCCTGTGAAAGAGAGACAATGAAAATGTGAAACCAAATAAGAGAAAAGAGGCTAAATGTATAATCGCATGCAGACTACGTTGAGGAATTCTTACTTATTCTCGATGGACACAGGTATTTGTCTACAAGTTCCCCGCAAGTCAGCGATTCATCTTGACATACTTCAGAGGCATTCTCGGCTCGTGAACCGCTTTGTTTCTTCGCTTTAGTCCCAGGACCTTCAAAAGATCAAATTGAAATAAAAGATTAATGTCATTCGGGCAATCAGTGACAATTTTTCACGGCCGTTCACTACTGTTAGTAAAATCGCCGGCCGGGATTTACTCATTTGACCTCGGATCGGAACGGACAGGTCGGAGGGTAAGACACGGTGTTTGACATAGAGCACCGGGAGTAACGCAAGAAACACGGCGCAAGGCAACCACCACAACCCGCCTCCCCGGGGAGACATCCTCACGTCTAAAAAGGCCAACACATAAAAGTTCTAAGGATCGCGTGAAGCTCGAACAAGAGATTTCGTAAGGCATGGGGTGGAAATAAAGATGTACCCAAGCAAACAAAATTACCGACGACGGTTGTGTACCGTTAGATATTATTCTTAACCTTTATGTCGCACCCTCCGCCGGAAGCAAGTAAGGAATACTCTCACGGAGTACACCGCGTACTCCTGTTCTTACGTCCCCTGTGGGGTGGAAAAAAAAACCCTCTCCACTTTGCAGTGTATTCCAAATAGTATATTAGTATTTAGGCAAGAATAACACGGTAAGTACCCATTACCCGATTTGAGCTTTTTTCATCATGACTTGTGCAAAGTTGTACTTGCACGCGCCGCCCGCGGTCAGGCACCCCATATCTAGACGGCAAGTATTACCGGGCTACTGGTTTATTGAGGCTTATTGACAATAAAACGTGTAAAAGTTAAACCCTGGCTTACAAAATATTCCATATGTTTTTACCGGAAGTATGACCCATCCAAGGTAAATCAAATTTAGCCAAACCACTAGAAAAAATTTCCCTTGCAGAGAAAGGATTACATGACGAGTTGCCCCCTTTTCGAGAAAAAGGCGCCGGTCGCTGACCTATGCCTTCACGAACTCGATGGCGACAACCCCCGCTGTTGTTATTAGGACCCCGTCGAACCACGGTACGGGCTTGGTCAAAGTGTTAAACCCTAAGTTAATTGGTCCATAGAGAATCAAATCTACTAACATCGGAAACGGAGGGAGAATGAAGAAGAGGATTGACTTCGTGACCGCATTTTCGGGAACGCGCTCGTCCGAAGAGGCCGATATTACTTCCCCGGTCTATAGACCTTGGTTACAATTAAGAGAACAGGAATTGCGCTCAGTTTTTTTATAAACGGAAGTGTAGTTTTGCGTCGCTGTTAATAAAGTCCGTTGTCGGAGTGTGCTCGTCCTCCCTGAAACCAGAACCTCAGCTAGATTACTTGGGTCAAGTAGAGGCGAATCCTGTGCCTAAACGCGCAAGAACAGGCATATTAATGCTAAATTACTTTAAGTCCTTCACTCGTTACCTCGGGAGTTTCAAACTTGTAAGCAGTTGCATGGCCACAAAGGGGGGGGGGGGGGATGTAACGGTTAAGAAGAAGAGGTATTGGAGGTTAATTTAAGAGGGTCACGGGACTGTAGTAAAAGAGATAGCAAGGGTCAAAGATAACCCTACTTATTATGTTTAATACCCGACGGGAAAAAAAAGTCCTTTCCCTATTCCTAACCTTTGTAACTTATCACAAGAAGGTTTACTGAAGTTTGGTCTCAGAGCCTATTTAATCAAAACCACTGGTTTTCCATATACCGAAAACCTATGGGCGTGCGAAATCGAAAAATTAAACTTAACTTGTACTAGAACATAGGTAATACAACTTGAATTCCAATACAAATTCGAACACAAG